GGAAAAGAGGGAGGAGAAGGAGAAGGAGGAGAAGGAAAGGAAAGGAAAGGAAAGGAAAGGAAAGGAAAGGAAAGGAAAGGAAAGGAAAGGAAAGGAAGTGTGGAGAAAATTGAAAGCTATTAATGAAAAGATTTCTGTTTTACTTCATCTGTAATAATTAGGCAAATATATAAAACTCTTCATAGGCCATCTTCTACTAGAACCTTTATTTCTATATGAAGCAGGAGGAAGGAAACTTACCTTTCATGTAGATTGGCTGCATTCTTAAATGTGTGTGTGTGTTTTGGGGGGGTAATCTATTCACCTATCTATCATCTACTTACCAGCCACTTCCATTAGAGATGGCCATCATGGATGCTAACTTTGTTTTCTCAACCCCTTCAGCCACAGACTCAGGTAATACAATACACTAAAGATAGACTGCAAAATTGTACATATAGATTGAGAATATGCATTTGCACAGACACAAAGACCTCAATTCTCTTCATTTACTAAGTGCTAAAATGCATGAGGATGATGGCACAAATCTCCTTTGGAAGAAAATGATATATGAATTGTGGAAGTAGAATAATGCAATTTCCGATATGTGAGAGCTCTAATTTACAGTCAATTCCATCACCAAGGAAACTCTTCTGTCCCCAACCCCCCTACGCTCCCTGCTCATCTTGCAGAATGGCTGTCTCATTATGCCATGAACAAGAGGATGCACAGGGATTTTAACAATGACAATATTACAGATAATTGGTAACTCTTTACCACATAACCATTCCGGCATGACTTGTTTAATTCCCTTTCTTTTCAGTGAGTTGGAGTAGATTCCCTGCCTCACCACGCACACTTTTGAGTTCTTCTTTCAAAGATGTATATGATAAAGAGTCTCAGAAAGGCTATTTGACCCTAGCGAGAACATGAGAACACCTGCCACATTAAAAGCCTACTACACATTGAATATTTTTAGTCCCCCTTGTCTTTTGATGATTTTGTTTCTTATTTACAGAATTTTTACTCAGTTGCAATATATATATACCCTAAAATTGAAAGGAGTTTATTTGAAAATATGAGAAAGTTATTCAACTATTGTCAATAACAAAAACACTTTTGATTATTTCTTAAAAAAAAAAAAAAAAAAAACCTCTTCCTAGGCCCTGGTCAGACTCTACTTGAATCCAGCCTGATTCAGTCTCAGTCCCCACTGAGTCCAAGTATGGGCATCATAGTTCAAATAAGACTGTGATACATTGCAGCAGGTTGTTATAATTTTGTTATAATAATTGTAGAGCAGGAAGCAGTAACAAATCATCTCTGTAACCACATCAGGTGCATAGTCTAGCAAAAAGGTGTCTGCCCTCCAAATGTTCTGTGAAATGGAGACCTATGTTGGCCATCCCAAATAATAAAAAAACAAGGATTATATCGTAATCCAGATAGCATACCATAGTTATCACCAACCTTGTCCTTCCTGTGTCACTCCTCATACATATTCCAGTATACTATAAGTAAAAATACAGCATTGCTTGGTGCTTCTCAATGGAAGGATTATCATAGATGGCAAACTTAGAAAGCAAAAAGCTATGATTTCTTCCCTCAATCACCACTAGATTTATTTTTAGCAGTAATGGAATGTGCATAACATTTTCCATTCTGAAATTATTTAGACTATCAAACTTAATTCTTAGAGACTACTGCTCGGAAAAAGTGTTC